TACCTTAGGATACCGTGGCCTACCTTAGCCTACCTTAACCTACCTTAGACCACCTTACCCCACCTTAGGGTAATTTAGCCTACCTTAGTCTACCTTAGACTACTTTACACTACCTTAGACTACTTCAGACTACCTTAAACTACCTTAGCCGACCTTAGCTTACCTTAGACTAACTTAGCCTACTTTAGCCTACCTTAGGGTACCTAAGCCTACCTTAGCCTACCTTAGACCACCTTAGAGCACCTTAGCCTAACTTAGGGTACCTTAGCCTAACTTAGGGTACCGTGGCCTACCTTAGCCTACCTTAACCTACCTTAGGGTGCCTTAGACTACCCTGGCCTACCTTAGGGTACCTTAGCCTAGCTTAGCCTACCTTAGAGTAGCTTAGATTACTTTAGTCTACCTTAGGATACCTTAGGCTACCTTAGCCTACCTTAGCTTACCTTAGCCTACCTTAAGCCGTGTGTGCACTAGAGACTGAACTTTACCTGAGACTTACCTGCGCCTGAGAAGTACCTATCTGGGGCCTAACATGATGTGTTTACACTAGATACCTGGCTAAAGCCCCGAGACCAATTGAATTGGACCATTACATACACGCAACTTAAAGTACTGGCTTTGAGAATAAACATGGCGGACTTGCAAATTTTGCAGTTCTTTGTTTGTTTTTTTTGCGTACAAGGCGTCGCAAAAGGATTAGAACAGGTAGAGTACGACGACGTAGCGAATACTGGCAAAAAATGAGACGCACGTTTTCAGAAAACAGGCAAAGGATCGACACTGTTTTCGCCAGCATGTTCGTTATTTTAATGTATGACTTCATTCGAGAAAGGCACGTGTGGAGCTTTCACAAATCAAATCAATCGTACTGGGAAAGAGCTAATCCATATTGGACAGATCGTATATTGATTGAAAATCTACGAATGAGGAGAGACACTTTCAAGTGTGTATGCAATGAACTTTGACATTCATTAATTAAGAAGAACACACGTTTTCGAAGACCAATCTCTGTCGAGGCAAGAGTAGCAATGGCATTGTGGCGTTTGGCCACTGGAATTGATTACCGTTCAATAGGGCAGCTTGTCGGTGTTGGCAAGTCTACATGCTGCAAAATGACACATGAAGTATGTCAAGCCATCGTAAATGGACTGTTGACTGGATTTATAAAAATTGTAACTGGCGAACGTCTGGAAGAAGTAAAGCAAAGTTTCTTCATAAAAAGTGGTCTCCGTCGATGTGTGGTGCTGTTGATGGTTGCCATATACTTATCATACCTCCGAAGAATTATCATACTGATTATTATAACCGAAAAGGATTTCATTCTATTTTATTACAAGGATTTGTAGATGATCGATGCAGGCAAGTTTTATTAGAAAATCATTACATATTGTTTATAGCTACACAAATTATTATTATCAATTAGAAATATTCATGTTAGCAAATGATTTAAAAATATCAACTAATCTGTATTCTTGGTGTGCAATTGTCATCATATATGGCAACCATGTTAGAGGAACTTTAGCAAAAGAAGTTCATTAACAGCTATTGAATTTGGAGCATGTTTTCCTCCAACATGGCTGCTATTTCTCAAGCCACAAAAGGTTAATTGAACCACCATACTGTATATTTGATTTTTTTTTAGATTTCAAGATATATGTGTAGATTGGCCAGGGCGTGTGCATGATGCAAGGGTCTTTCCAAACTCATCACTTTATGCTAAAGGCAATAATGGCACACTTTTCACCAGGGTAATTTTTTTTAGTAGAACAGCATTTTTCACTTCATAATTACTAACTAAATGTACAATTTCTCCACTTATAATGATTTACTTTATTACCAGGATATTTCTGTAATAAATGGTGTTCAAGTTCCCTTATATATTGTTACAGACCCAGCGATCCTATCTTGCCTTGGGTACAAAAAGCTTTCCCACGTGAAGGCCTTACTCGACATCAAAAACATTTCAACACCTGCCTTTCGAAAGCACGATTTGTTGTCGAACATGCATTTGGTAGACTGAAAGGAAGATGGCGATGCCTAATGAAAAGGAATGACGCAACTCTCAAATATGTGATTGCTCAAATTTCTGCCTGTTGTGTTCTTCATAACTTGTGTAAATTACAGCAAGATTTTTTAGAAGAATGGTGGTTGCTCCCAGAAATGAATGAATGCAACAACCAAGATGATGATAATGGTGATGACACTGAAGATAAAGATGACCATAATGGTGATGATGGCAAAGAAGATGGTTGTGCAATAAACATTCAAAATACATTAATGAACAGTTTAATGTAGGAAAATTCACCTTGCAGTTGTAAATAGCAACTACTGAAAGTTGATAGTATTTTAAATTTTGTTGATGGTGCTAAAATATAAACATCTTTCCCAATTTGAATAGACTTGATGTTACAGAAACATGTGAGAATTATGTAAAACAGAGAAATTGTGAAGCAAAGGATATTTTTTCACTAGTGAACTGTTCTGACTGGCCTCATCCTTACGCGGCATATAAATGTTTATCATTTTGACACGTTTCCATGAGTGTGTGCAGCAAAAACTGTTACAGTACACAACTCAAAAAATATTTATTTTGTTTCACAGCTCTACTTTATTGCATTGGTCTACTTTGTATATTTACAGTATTGTTTAACATACTATCTCTTGCATATTGTTCAAGCAACATTACCAATGGAATTCTTCAATGTACTTTAATCCATTGTTTACAACAACGACGACGACGACGACGACGACGACGACGACGACGACGACGACGACGACGACGAATTTCACTTGAAGGAATTTCACTTATCAACGAAAGTTGAAAGGTGAACGGTAGTTATTGCTTCCATGAGCATTTTGTAGTTCAGTATAAACAGCTGAAGGAGTACCTTCGGATGTAGGAAGATAATGGTCGATTAGTGATAGTGGTGCTGGTGTGTGAGTTCTGTGTATCATGGTGGTAAACATCTCCATTAATCTCATTTCATGAGCATGCTCTCTTTCACACTCTTCCTGCTCTTGTTGCAATTTCATTTTCTCCTTGTCGAGCCACTACTTGTGCATTTTTTCTGACAGATCAGGCTGCTTGTCGTTTTGTTCCTTCAAAAATTCCTTAAAGCTGCCCAATGCTTCTTCAATTGTGCTTTTTTTGTGCTTTTTGTGCTTTGCTTCAATTGTGCTTTTTTCATCTAAACCAACTACCAGTTAAATGTAAGCAATTACAGATAAATTGTGTGGTTCTCTTTTAGAAAATTAATAGTTCAATACCACAATGTGCCAAAAATGTGCCAATGAATGATATCAAATATCTTATTGTACAAATGAGTTATTGTAAACACTCAATATTTTCAGCATAGCATAATTACAGTATAAAACTATTTTGTTAGCTATTTTCACCAATTGATGGAAATAGCTAACAGATTGTCTGATAATTTATTAAACCAGTAATGATTTTGTCATGGACTACCCAGTGCTTTCAGATCTTTTCTGTGGGTAATCAAACACTGTCTATATAAATTTTTATTGACCATAAGAAAAAAGTTAGTACAGTTTAATTAATTTATCCAAATCAATTATTCCAATACACATAAACTGAAACTGATTCTGATAATAGTTTATTGATATCTTAGCAATAGTATGGTTACAAGGGACATGATATTAAGCAATAATATTTATATCAATGTTAAATCATTGAGTGGCAGCACTCTCCAATTCACAAATAAAATTGCCTGGTGTTAGACAGAGTAAAATACTAAAGTAGGGCATATCATGGTGAATTGCCACTTAAAGGGTTAATCCCACGGAGGGAGAATGGACTGTGGAATTATGTTGGCATCTCAAGATTGCCCAGTATTGTGTATATTTGAAATTTGGAAAAAAAGGTTTTGGTTAATACTGGCACTTGTCCCTTGGGTGTGGATGTTGATAATGTGTTTTTTTTAAAAATGTCAATATCGGCACCCATTGCTTGGCATCTTCTCTCTCAGGATGGACACAATTGATTGGTGCATAAATCGTGTATAGTATGTACTGTAAAAACTGTAACTAGAACAAGTAGTTAGTTATTACCACGAGAAGAAATTGACACATGCACAACTGATTTTTCATTTGCAAAGTAAGGTTCCAATGTTTAGTTTTCCTTGTAACCGATATAATAGTCATGCTATAGGAGTAAGTAATGTACTGTTGTTTGCAACTAAAGATGAACGGTTGCTCATAAAAAACATTGCCTATTCGTGTGAGAATCTTCAATGTTTGTCAAGAGCACTTGACAGGTTTTAATCTAATCAGCCAATCACGTTCAACCAGCTCCAAGCTAATTGGATGAGCGAATTGAAACCATCAAATGATCGATCATCACAAACATTGAACTTTCTCGGTAAAAACCAACGGTTCCATTTTGAAGTAAATTTCCTTTTTGAAGGAAATTTTAATGAGTTGAAGGAAATTATAACGAAATTCGAATCTGAAGGAAATTTGAAGGAAATTTCGGAAGATTGATGAAGATATAAATGAAATTGCCTTATTTCTAAAAAAAGTCTAAGAATACGGCAATATCCAATGAAATGCGCTTCAAACTATGCTGAAAACCCTGTCCTGAGAGATGCGAAATTTGACAATTTTCTGAGCGACGACCTCCAGACCTCTCTGGTTATTCTCTTTCGTGTTAATCTAACTCTTTGTCTCTCCCCTTTAATAATTCAGCCCCTGCAGCGTCTATGTTCCTTCTAGAACAAGAAATACCCTGTTATTCGAGATAAATTACTATAAAATGGTTTTAAATTAGGTAAAATTTAATTTTATTGACAGGAAATTTTGTCAAAAATAAGGAAATTTGAACGGTTGGAAGGAAATTATGTTTTTTAAAACTGGAAGCACTGATAAAAACAAGTGATAAAAACATACATTGAACTTTGTCATGAGAATGGACAATGTTTTATCTAGGATATTTTAAAATACACAACAACTGATTATTCTGGTAAAAAAAACCCATACCATTTACAATATCCTCCTGATCACCAAAGATTGAGTCTGCAATCAAATATTTGACAGACAGAAAGGATAAATAAAACCCGATAAATAATTCTTACGACACATACTTTATAGCACACTCCCCAACAAAACACACCGTTGCTTTTTGATTCATCGTCATTGCTGCCGAAGGCAGCA